CTGCTGTAGGCACTTCTGCCCCAGCCAGGCACAGCTGGTGAAGCGGGGAGCGGTACCCTTACGCGGTTGTTTCATTTAGCACAGCAGAGCGCTATGGAGAACTGCACCAGGTGGGTGGCCACGCGTGCTGTTCTGCGTGGTGCACGTTGAGATCGCTGTGTTAACGGTATTCTGAGAAGATGCAGCTGCCGCAGATCGCCTGTGGTTCTCTTCACCCAGCTCTTCTGCAGATGCGGGTCTGTCTCCAGCCATCTGCACATGGAATTATTTCCACCCACTGATAGAAGAATATGAATGGTTCCCGGGTTGAAAAGTCCCTGCTCTTTGTTGAGTGAAAGCGGATAGATTTGTGCATCAGGTCACGTCTGTGTTGGTGGTGATGATTTTGAGCTATCTGCTGCTAGGCTATTGCATTGAGGGTAGCGGAGACAGGAGTACCTCCGTCCTCACAAAGTGTTGGATTACATATGGTGAGTCAGTAGGTGATGACACATTTATCGCCGTCAGTGGAAATCTCGGATGTGGGGATGACGGGTGTTATGCCAGTGTTCGTCTGGGAGCGCAGCCGTGCAGGAGTACCATTCCACGATTGTCGTTTTCATGTCAAAAACCCTCTCTTGTGGACTGTGAAATCTTAAGAGATGAAGGAGGAAGCTTAATAAGGTCTGAACTATCTCAAGGCTCTCATTTGTCCAACTGATTGTGTTTCAGGAGGTGCCATCACAGTATGCACATGCACTTAATTTATCTGGTAACTACAGAAATTAAATGAAGTAAGGCTCCGTACGCTAAAGCGTGGCAGATCTGGCACTGCATGTGGCTGGGGGGGGGGAGCCCCGAGTGTGGTGGGGAGGGCAGGAGTGGGCCAACCCAATCTTCTGTTGTCCTTCTGCCTTCATTGTAATTTCCACTCACCTGGTAGGCAATTACAGAGGGCTTACGTGTTAGAGTGTCAATTAAAGATAGTGTGGAGAATTGAGACATTCCCTACGAAGGTAAATTGCTGAATAGTAATAATCCAGTCAGACCCCACTGTTTCCCTTATTATCCACGTCTCTCTAAATTGAAGACGCAGGAATGCAAGGTACCCCTTTTTTCTCAGTTCCTGCTCTTTGGGGCATAATCAAGCTCTGAATAATCCCCGTAGTTTGCCCTCTTCAGCGCTGATCTAGCTCTCTGTGTGGTGTTGTCCAGAGCACAGCAGGCTCAAGCCTGCTCCGGGTACCTGCAGGCCAAGTGGTTTGATGGGAAGTACCATCTTGCCTTGAGCTGCAGAAGCACCTTTGCTAGCCAGTTCCGAAAACCAGGTGCGTACCCCCAGATCTCTAGCACTGGTGGGAACTGGGGGCTTGGGAGAGCCTTGAATTAGCTGTATAGTAAGGCTGCTCTTCCTTCTAAGGTAGGTCCCATGGTCTGCTTTGTCTTAAGACAGCTCCATAAAATTATCCTTGAGAACAGCAAGATTTTTGTTTTTTTTAAACATGATTTTTGTTAATTTAGCATCCTAGAAGTATAAACAGCCTTGTGAATGCAAATGAGTGTAGCCTTGCAGCGTTTCAGGCTGGCATGCAAGATTATTTCCATCTTCCTTTTTCAGAGAAGAAGCTGCCGTATAGAGTCACCAAATATCCTGTCTGTAGCCATGGAATAACCTGTTGGAGTCAGGAGTCTGATGCTCAGTGCAATGCCTTGCACACTAAATGACACATTGCTTAATTTTCAACTGCTCTAATTCTGTCTCTTGGAGGAGCCTTCACAGTACTAAACTGTGTAGCAGGTATTAACCCGATACCTGCAGGTTGGTGCTGGTGGTTGGCCTTGACTCATAGGACAGCGCTTGACCCATGGAAGTGGCACTGCTCATGTGCTTTAGGGTAGGCATTTTCTTGATTACTTTCCTAAACTGGGTGCTGAGAGGTGTTCTTCATTATGTCACTTTAAATATGTCCTGTGGATATCAGCTTTGCAGACTTGTAAGGTACCAGTAAACAGATTTATTTTAAAGGCACCACTAAAGGAATTACAGTGAGCTTATTTTTTTCATCAGGCTGTCTAGATGCGTTTGCCCTGGCTGTCACTGGAGTATTTAAGCACTTGGTGTGAATTCAGGATAACTTCATGATGTCATATTGAGATAAAACAAGTTTTGACGGAAATGAGAGTGAGGGCCATGGTTTCAATATTTACGCTGTTGTTAAAGCAGTGCTTTCACACTTTCTGCTTTCTTGTCTGAGATAAGTGCTCCACAGCTCTTCTAGAGAGCGGATTTGATGGAGTTCTCGTTTCAGCTGCTGTTCCCTGATTTTTCTCTTCATTGTTAGAGGCTTTCCAGTTTTGTAAGATAAAATAGAAGCTATCGTGTATGTGAGCCCACTTGAACAGTGTCTGCAAGTTGTAGTATTTTATTGTTTGTGTTCTCTGTTGTGATAGTAGAAGATGCATAATCTGTTGAAATTTAGAGTAATCCTTTAAGCTTGGGTCACTGAGAGGTCTGCTGAATGTTTGAGCGTGGAAGTCTTATGGAGCTGATGAAAATACTACGGTAACAACAGTGTAATGGTGCGATTTCCCTCCCTCCTCTAGTTTTTCTCAGATGCATTGATTTAATAGAAATACTGAAAGTTGACCAAAGCAAAGTTTTTTGTGTTTGTTAGTAGGGTTTTCTTTTTAACTGTTTATTTAGTGTAAGGCAGAGTTATGGTGTATAGTTATTAAATTAATGTCCTTGGTTGTTGTTGTTGTTATCTTTAAAGAAGTCCCAATATATAGAAAAGCTTATTCTGAATGGGGGGGGGGGGTGATTAGGGTTGGAGGGGGACGAGGGTGGGGGGGGAATTTACCATCACTGTTTGAGTGCTATCGCAGCTTTGGGAGTCTTGGAGCTTCCCTAGCAGACAGAACCATCTCTGTCTCAGTGCCACGCTCACACACCTCTTAAATACAGTTTGTAAATACCTCAGAATTGGGGTCCTTTTCTGATAATAATTTTTAAATCCACTTAATGGAAGCAGCTGTGTGGCCACATAAGAACATTTTATGAGTGGCTTAAATCTAACACAATTAAAGTGTGTTTGCTGAGGAATTTTCGATGTTTAACTAAATGGATTTAGAAATAATTAGTTAACAGCACAGTCTTCTGTTTAGGCAAGACTTCAATTTCTTGTTAGGGACAGAGGGTGCAGCGCAGCTGGCTTTTGACAGAGGACAGACAGAGCTGTCAAACCCTGTAGAAGTATTTAAATGGAAGAATTTTTGTTAACGTGGCAATGTCTTGGGTTTTTTTTGACTCCACAAATTTACAATCTGTATCATTAGAATCATTAGGTAAGGTGTCTTGCACATCTTTTGTCTTTTTGTATGCAATTAATAGTTTAAATCGCATACTATTGTTTTATTTTAGCATCTAAAATGAGAAGACAACATGAGAAAGTTTTAGAAATATTATTTGCTTCAGTTAGCTCTGTGGAAATCTTTAGGTTGCTTTTGCTGATTTCTCATTATATTAATTGTCTCTTTAACATTGCACAGAATGTTTAATTTCCTGGTTTTAAACTAAATGAAAAAATAGAGAAAACAAAAGTGACAGGACAGTGATCACTAAAGCTTTGATACGGGGGGGGGGGGGGGCTTAGCAACCCGAGATGCTCACAGTGTACATGCTACAATAAATATTGTTGTTCATTAATTTCTAATCACTTTGTGACACTGTCAGTGGAGAGATTGTCTGACATGAGAAATCAGGCAGCAGGAAGGAAAAAAACCATGCTGTGCATTTATGTCGTGCCCTGACATGACATATTGCAGCCTTGCAAAGGCTGACAACAGCACATACACTGGGAGGCCAGGATGACTTCAGTCTGAGCAGATGTTTTTCACTGAATTTTGAGTGAATGCTGTATGTAAAGGCTAAAAAAACCCCAAAACCCTAAACTAAAGAATTAAACTCTCTGTTTAGTTGTACAGGAAAGGTTTGTATTAGCAAAAAAAATGCTGGTTTGGGTCAGAGATGTGCAACACTTGGAAATGTTCAGTGTGTTTTTTGATGAGCTTGTGTATGTGGTGCTCACATCTCCCTTAAGAAAGGGATTGCATGGCATCGTTATAATGGCGAGGCTGGAGGTTGCCTTCCAGGTTAGTACTTCCTCTTCTTCAGGTATTTTAACCTTATTTCCGCCAGGGCAGCCAACGTATTTGAATCCATCTGCCAAGTTTTGAAGAAGTTTAAATTCCAATTAAGAATGACAAAGAGCCCTCCAAACTTTGGGGCTTGCATGGCGTGGACAGCATCTTGAGACGCAGCGCTGCTTTGCGAGGCAGCAGCAGGCAGCTTGGCGCAGCTGCTGGGTCCTGCCACTTTCCCGGGCAGTTGTGGAGTGAAAGCAACAAAAATTTGTTCAGTCTCACAGCTATTGCTTTAATTCACGATGGCCGCCCTAAACCCACCTGGAGCTGTGTGTTACCCTGTTGTTCCTGAGCTGCAGGCAGGGCAGGAGATGGAGCTGCGTGATGAGGGTACCTTGTGGTGGGAGGGAGGACCGGGGCAGTTGTTCTGAGGTGGAGAGGAGGAATCGGGGGGGATGTAAGCAGGAGGACTGAGAGAGAAAATATGCTTTCTTAATGTAAAAAGCCATTCATAAACCTCTGTTTTTATGACTTACCTTAATGAGTTAGATGTGATTTTTTTTTTATAACCTCCAGAAAAAAAATCAATTCTTTAAACTGCAAGAACAGACACCACTGACTTGTTTGCAATTATGATTGAGTTATTTAAAAAGAAAACAGTTTTCCTCAAGGTAACTTGGAGAGGAAGGAGAAGAGCGCCATGATTTGTCCTGATTTGTCTTGTGCGCCAAAAAGTTTGTGATTTTGGGGCAGTGGTGAGTAGCAGGACCTAAAGTCTTCTACCTGCAGCTGGGGACCAATTAAGGTGATTTACTCTAAATCATCTCAGGCATTTCCCATTTGATATATAGCTAACTCTTCTTTACGTTTTAGGATGTCATTGGTCAAGTTTTGCCGGATGCAACGACAACAGCATTTGAGTGTAAGTACGACTCGTATAAACTGTCTGCTTTGTCACATTATAGGGCTGTCATTTTTTAAACAAATAATGTTTACATTCATTATATGTTACAGTTAAATATTTATGCGTTAATGCAAGTTTAATGATGATACTGAACTGAGTAATATTTTATTATTTAATCACATCTTGAATGAGCATATTTCTACAATATAGCTTTAATTACCAGCATGACCTTACCATGCTCTTACTCCTCACTGCAATTATATTGCTCAAATTAAATGAAAAGTATAAAGTACCTGTAGGTCTAAGTTTAAAATTTTAATCCTCCATTGGAAGAAACCAAAAGAGCAGCAGCTTTTATAGAAATGTGGTACAATGTACAGATTTGTACCAAATATAGCAGCATTAGAAGTTAATGTTTCTTTTCACTGGAACAGACGTCTGTTTTTTTTTTTTTTTTTTGCTAGAAGGACTGCTGTGTTTTTAGTTTTCCTTTTCTCCTTCTGCTGGGCTCAAGCTAAATACACCATCTTCTCTGTCTCGTGTGCGAGAGCGGGAGGTGTCAGTAGTTATTCAGCTTCAGCTCCTGGAGGAGGTATGAGAGCTGCAGGAAAATGGCACCTGGTTAGACTTGGGCAGTGGTGATAACTTCTAGAAGGGCAGGTGGGTCAGGTTGAGAAGCTGGGAAAATAGGTTCTGTGTAGGACCTGAGAAGGCTGTAGGTTGGGGGTTGCCCATAATGGGACTTGCACCTTGTGAAGATGGTTATTTTGTGCTTTTGCTGAGTTAGGAAAGCTCTTGGTGATTGTTAGTGCAGATTTAGGCCTATATCTGCTCTATTCAGCAGATTTCAGCTCCATTCTTTGAACCCTGTTAATTTTTATTTTTGGAGGAATTCCTGGGGGATTGTCCTAACTGGAGAGCAATAAGCTGCAAAGATGAGTCAAACATCTGTGTCTTAGGGGATAAGATACCAAGCTAGAGTTTTCTTCCAGGTGGAGAGGGCTCCTGCTACTCCCTTTTAATGTTTATTGTATGGGGTTTTTTCTGTGTAAGTCTGTGTTTTCCTTTGATAGAGATGAAATAGCAGGAAGGAACTGCAGGGGATTAGAAGTGTAAGGTAGTGATGCTGAAGGTGAGAGAGCAGCTACGACAAGATAGGGCCTTGCATTCTTATTAGCATTTCTCCCCTTTTTTAGAGCTTCGTGGATAATTCTGCGTGTAGATAATCAAAGGAAACATTGTTTTATGGTCCTTCAAGTATTATTTAGTGCTTTCCATTTTTCTTTTCATATGTTTGTGTTTTCCTCTCCTAAAATACCAGAAACCTAAGAATGGAGATTATAAGTGTTATTTCTCTGTAGTCTTGACGTTTCTCCTGCCCTGCTTTTTAAAACAAGACTTTCTAAAGAGACTTGAGCAACGCCAGGCTCCAGACCTTGCCTTTTTTTTTTTTTATGATTTGTTAATATTTTTTTTACATACCTCCCACATCACACATTAGCTTTGTTTGAACTTCATGCACCAGTTGCAGTCGCTGCAATCAGGGCAGTAGCCCATATTAATGGTACCATGTGTAGAACTTTCCTGGAAATACTTATTTCGTTGTGTCTTCTAACATCTGCTTCTGTGCTTTCAGTTCGTGTCTCTAGTCTGTCATTTACATCTGCACAAAACCATTTCCCCTGCCATTTAACTGGCATCTAAAATATGTTATGTATATTGATGCGTGATTTTTCTGGTTACTTTTTCCATATCAAATGGAATCAAATTTTACCAGCTTAAGCTTCGTTCTCGCCTGCTTCATTGCTTCTTCAGATGTGGATAATTGCCATCCAGTGCAGGTTCCTCTGCTGTTTGTTTAGTTATTGTTATCTACAGCGTACCATCCATTGCGGCTCCTACCTGGGGCTGCACTTCTCCTACTGTTGGACCTTTATGTGGATTTCACCATTGTATTACGCATCGCTACAAATAAAATCACTAACAACATATGGCCTGTTATGATCCTTTTATCCAAACTCTGCCATTTTGTATATTTGTGACACACTGCAGATTTTGTGAAGATTGCTTCATAATATTTGTTTACCATCTGCTGCACTCTATTTGGTATCTTGCAAGGATTTCTTCCTCCATTTTAAGTGACATTAGCAAAATCCAGCCAGTACGTAGGATTTTTTGGTTCTACTTTTGCTTCCCTAATGTGCTGGAAAATCATATTGCTGTGCTTTAGGCAAGTAGAGAAGCCTGGAAATCTTTCTGAACCCGTGTGTCACATCTAGCTAGTTTTTGGGCTATGCCCACTTAAATGTCGTGGTAGGATGGCAAAGGGTCTCTGCACAGATAGGAGAATTTTTTTTTTTCTGGTTTTGCTCTTTACAAGCATTGCTTGGTTATTTTAGATTTGGCTTTTTTAATGCCAGGTAACATTTTATGCCTTTTCATCAACGTATTTTTAATTTATTCTTTTTGTGCCACCATCAGGAATTTTGCGGTTCTGAGAACTTCAGTGTTGATTTCTTAATCCTTTGAAATGAATAATGTGTGAGGATTTTTTTTTTTTAATAAACATTTTGCAAGTGGGCTCTAAGAGCTTTCCAGCTTTTTTCATTTTTGGTGGTCCCAGCTCAGTTTGTTCCCTAAAGTGAGGCTTGTTTAACAGCTTTTATCTCCGTATATTCGTCCCTCCCTGTCATGTTTCCCCTCTTCTGCATTTTACTCTAATCCCTTCTTGTTGATGCATGGCATTCATTGTGTTCACTGTTCCAGCAGCTGCTTCTTCAGCCTTTCTTACTCCGTTACACGCTGCGACTGGGACTTGGGTTTTGGCCAGGTAGCAGTTTTACAACTCCTCCTCCTTTCTGCCTAAAATGTTTCCAGGCAAGGAAGCATTCAGTTTCAACTCACTAACTCTTCTTAATCTTTTCATCATTCAAGACTCGCTGCAGGCTGGTAACCCTAGCAAGTAGTTTTAGCAATCTGGCAGTTCACCAGTTAAATTTCCATGAGACGAGGCTCTTGTAGGACATCACTGTGCTACCTCGTTCCTCTTCCAGCTTCCACATTTCCAGTGTCCCATAGCTCTCTTCTGGTACATTTTTAAAGGGTAATTTTAGGGTTTTTACGTTACCTTTTTTCCTTATTATTTCTCTCTTGGTGTCTTGCTCTCTATTCTGCATTGTTTTGCTTTTTTCATCGTAGCATCAGAATTACCTGCAAGGTTTTCAGAAGCAAAATCAACAAACTCCTTTTCTCAGGTAATTTTGATTTGTTGACTCAGATCTCTTCCCAGATTCCTGTGCATAACTAGGAGCAAGAGTGAGTTTTCATCCAGGGACATAATGGCGTTTTTTTTATGCTGATGTATTACGCGGGGACCGTGATTGCAGAGAACACCTGTGTCGGGCAGAGCACGTCTACAGAGATGGGAACAGACAGACAGACTGCCCCAGCCTCTGCTCGCGTCCTGAGCTGGTCAGGAGCAAACGTGCTCCAGTCCCGAAGTAGTATAAATGCACTCGCTCACCTCCGTGTCCTCACCTTTGGTATTTAGCAGGTGTTTGGCATATGGTGTGCATGTTGCTCCTTGATTTCCTGGTGCACGTTAGCTCGGGCAGAGTGCTTTTCTTTTGTAACCATACGGCTTTCTGACCAGCTTGCTTGCAACTTGGAGCACGGGCAGAATTGTTCTGGTCTGTCCCTCCTCGTGTGTGTGGACGTGTCCTGGCACGCTGAGCCCCGTCAGCTTTCAGGAAGAGGTGGGTGTCTCAGACCTTTTAAATATCCCAACTCAAATGGGCCTGCGTGTTTGAGATTCCCCACAATAGACCTTTTCTGGACAAAAAGGCGTGCAAATTTGTCAGCCGTTCTTTGGTATCAGTTGGATGTTCTGTTATTGTTTTATTTTCAAAGAGCTCCCGTTCCAAAGGGAAAAAACAAATGTAAAACTGGGGTATACACCAATGTGCTTTGTGGGTGCGTTTTTTTTGTGTTGTTGGGTTTTTTTTTTTAATAAGTATCTGAGGAAGATATTTAAATTGCAGCAGGCAAAAATTGGAGACAGACCATTAACCCCTCCCTTCTCCCCCAAAGCTAGAACAATAAAAAGAAATTAACATTTTGTAACTGATTTGGAGGGGAGGGGTCTGTTCCATTTGTCTGGCGACGGGTGCAGCTCTCCCATCGGTGAAAGCGTGCGAGGTTTTCACGAGGACCGGGGCAGGAGAGGAGGACGGGGTGGACGCTGCTCCCGTCGGAGTGAAGGAACCGCGCAGGGTGTCTCAGCTACGGCGGCTTGTGACACTGGAGCGTGTTGTTGCACCAGCTGGTGCTAATGGGGGGGATTGAGCCCCCTGGTAAATCTGCACCTGCTGAATCCCGCCATATGTCTTTGGAAAGTCTATTCCTCCTTCAGATCTTGATATTAATAATTCTTTCTGAATGCCTTGCTCTGCTGGAGCCTTTCCGATTCTTGCTCCCTTTCCTCTGGTTCTGTTTCTACAGCAGCCTCTTTCCTTATGCCAGAAGTGCCTTGTCTGTGCGTTTGTGGCCGTGCCTGAGCCGCCATCACGAAACCGTGGTTGCCTGGTAGTGCTGCCTGTGCCTCCTGCCTCCTCTTCACCCACGGTTGCACTACGAACAAAACCACAGGCTGGTTTTGCTTGTTCACAAACTTCTGTCTTCATCTAAATCTCTCTGTATAAACGTTGTGGATTTGTGTCCACTTGTAAGTGACAGTTTTTAAGTCAACGTTGCTGTGTCATGAAGAAGCAGAGGTGCCCGTGCATTGCTAACAGGGATGGGGGCAGGGGGGTTGATGGAGGGTTGACAGTAAGACCAGAAGGTTTTAGTGGGAGGGAAACCGTTTCATGTATGTGGTTTTTGGTTTGTTTGTTTTTTAATTGTAGGAATTCTGATGAAAGAAACTACCAAAACTTAACTCCATCTGGGAGGATCGAAGCACGCTCAGAAACTTTACTTTGTGTTTGCTGTGTCAAGAGAATACCTTGATGGGTTTCAGTGAGGGGTATTACAGCATGTGTGAGGTGCTTGGCTTCTGGAGAGGTTCTGGCAATAAAAGAACTGTTGAGAGCAAAGTTTTGAGCACTTTGTTCATGCCCCCTTCTTAGATGTAATTGTAGTCTTTGTTAATTAGTGTTTGGAGTCATTATGCATTATTATTTCAGAGTACCTGGTTACCTTTGTAGTTGGCTTATACATTCTTCATATTTTTATTTGCTTCTAAAAATCCTGGTAAAAACCTAGCGTATTAAAATTGTAAATATCCTTCTTCCATTGTTCATTAACGTAATACATTTCTTTGTTAGACGAAGATGAGGATGGTGATCGGATTACTGTTAGAAGCGATGAAGAAATGAAAGCCATGCTGTCCTATGTAGGTATAGTATAACAAATGCTGGTATTTTCCATGTTTTTCATTTTCTGTTTGTGTATTTTTGCTTGTATCAGAGTGTTAATGTAAGCTGCAGTGTTCACAGTACAATATTCCTGTATTAAGTTGACAGTATAATATTCCTGTATTAAGTGTAGGTGTTTAAAAACTATATCACATGAGATATATGAACATGCTTGACTCTTTAAAAAAAAAAAAGACTTGTACGCTTATTGATCATATCATAAACATTAAGAATAATGCATCTTAATGACTTTTGCATTAGGTATAGTGCAGGCTAAATGGACTATCAATTTCTTGTATTTTTTATGCAGTACTTAAAGTAACGGCTCATTAAAAATGAACCCCTGGGCTCTAAAAATTTTTCAAAATCTACTTTCATCTGGAGACTGTTTCACCCCTCCTAACGGAAGAGTTTCATTGTAGCTGCAGGCTCAATATTCATAGAGGATTTAAAGACGTATTTTCTGTTTTTTAATATGAGATATATGTGTGCCTGTGTGTGCTTTTATATATATAGATGTGTGTAAAATCTCTGTCTAGATACCTATAAATATAAAATCTGTCTACAGAAATAAAGTATGCAGTTACTTATTGAAACAAAATAATTCGAATATAGCTTCAGTGTATCTTTCATGTTGCAGATGTAAGTGAAAAAAATCATTTAACGTTTCCTTTCAAATCAAATTGATAAGCAAGAAAATAACAAATGGGTATTTTCTCTCTAAGCCAGATGGAATGCTAGTGCCTTATAAAGTGCACTTCTCGCTATATTAACGGCCTTAGCTTGGAACATACTAGAAACAAGCCCTGTTTAGTGCCATTCGTAGGTGGGTTTGATGGGACTTAGTTCAGTTTAGTCCTCCTCATCGGTTCCCCGTCACGGAGGAAGCAGAGCAGGGACGTGCTCGCATCCCCTACATCTTGCCCGAGTCCCTGCGTAGTGGATCCCTCTTGGGCACGTATTCTCTGGTGTTTGGCAAAACAATGTCGTTTCGTCGTTGTGAACTTAGCACATAAATACATCAAATGATCAATGTTCCCTGGGAAGGGGGCTCATGTTTTCTAGGCTCCAGGAAGGCTTCCTCAGTGAAATTCCGATCCTTTTGATATCTGCAGAGATTGTACTATTTCTGCGCTCCAGCGCTCTTCCCTTGCGAAGGCTGGGGTGGACGTTCGTCACCTGGAAGTCTGTTAGCAGACCCTGGTTCAAAGGGACTTTAGTCATTGCCTAGGACTTAATCCTGGGGTGAAAGAAGAGCAGGTTCCACATGCTTGTGATTGATCTCTGTGAAACTCAAGGGATTTATTAAATAAGCTTCTCTCATGCAGTTTTCTTTCCAGAGGAGGCGAAACCATTGTATTACAAGTTTGATATCAAAGAGCGCGAGACAGTTGTGTGAAAGAAAGGAAGAAAAATCTTGCTGTAGTTAAGGGGGTTTTGTGCTTCTTTGAGGGTTTTTTGTTTTATTTCATACAACTAGATCCCTGGTGATGCTTCGCCGCTGGAATTCCTTGTGTTTCTCAATTTTTAATTTTTTTTTCTCCTTATAAAATGCCTGCCGTTTTTTGCTGTTAAACTGGAAAACTTGAATTTTCCTGGCACGGTCTTAAGATTAATCATGCCTTTGTAAGGTCATCTTTTTGCTATGCTTCCAAGCTTACTGTTAAAGTTTCAGTACATTAGAGTTATGATTGCTCAACTCTCTGCTTTCCCTTAAAAATTATGGGATGTCTGTAAATGACTTCTTTCCGCTTCAGCAGCTTTTCTTCTCTGAAAATTTTCCCTTCAGTTTTAAACTAGTTTTCTATTTGAGTGTTGCCTTGATGGTTTAACTTTCTAACATCCTATAGGTGTCATTTTGGGATATGTGTATAAGAAAACAAATGCTCTTAGCCTCCAAGAAAAGGAATTGAGCTACCATAGCTTTGAAGAATATACTGGGGAAGAAAAATACTCTTTCTTTTAGCAACTTGAGGCCTGCAACAAATATTTGGAGGATTGAACAGCTGCTAAAATATTTCTAGGAATTTTTACATGGTGCAGTTTACCTCCAGTTCTGCGAGTATTCTCCAAAATGCAAGTGAAGGGTTTTCTTTCAGTTTAAGAACAAAAAAAATAATTCCCTGACAATACGGATCTCTTCCGTGCACGTATGACACTGTAATTGGGGAAGATGTTTTGAATCAAGCACGGCCTCTTATCTTTAGGTTCTTTGGTTTCCGAACTTGACAGTAAGTTATTTCAGGCAGTTCTGGAATTATTTTAGGGTATGCAGAAATACTTTCTATTATGCCTATGCAAATATTATGGAATGGTAAATAAAATTATTTTTTCTGTTATGCATTGCAGTTAATTAAACACAGACATTGAGCAGCAGTGGAGTTGCACTTTAGCTGTTGTCTTGTATCAGTATAAAAAGGCAGTAATTTTTTTGACAGCCACTGATTGGAAAGTTGCTTGCAGCTTTCTGAAAGCAAGGGGTACATGCTTTGGATCAATAACTGGCAAATTTTCCATTAAAAAGAATACCTGAACAATGTTCCAAATAGCCACTGGCATCTTAATTTTCCATGGAAACCTCAAATGCTCATGTGTGGAGGACAAGTCATTTTCAGACAATTTTTCCAGACTACTTGTTAACAGTTATTGCTGTCCCAAAAGGTTGACAGCTTACATGATTGATATTTCATTTACTTGTCATCACTGTTTGAGTAATGGAGAGGGCCATGTTTTTTCTCTCTCTCTCTCCCCCTCCATTTTTTTTTTTTTGGTAGGAAACAGTCTCGTGTGTGTTTATTTTAGTTTATTATTCTAGAGAGTATGTAATATATGTTTATACTGTGTGTATATATATGTCTTCAGGTCATAGAATGGCATCAGTAAAATGCTAATAAAAAAGTTTGTTTTTCTTAAGGAATCTTGGCCCCCAGCGGAGCAGGAGATGCTTTCACAGCTCCGTAACTATTAGGTACTGGTGACACATTTTTATGAAGGGATATGGGGACGTGGGGGAGGATTTGGCATGTTATTCATGGCCCCCCGATACAAAATAAGTCTATGGGGTAGTCCTGACTCCTGAAAAACCTCTTGATCATTTCAAAAGAGTGGGCTGTTGTAATGAATAGCTTTGCTCTGTATAAGCACAGTGAAAGCATGTGTCACGCGGTTATTTAAGATATGGATTTATATGTTTGCGCACTAGTATGAATGAGATGCCCCGCTCGAAAATCTTGTGGTGAGATTTTAATGAGGGAAATGCTTTTAGCAGCAGGCATCATACTAGATGTACACACAGGAGGTGGGGCTGGACAGGTCCTTAAACCCTCAGCAATTTTCTTCATACCAGTTTTCTCACAAAAAGGAGATTTCTTCCTGTTTCTTGACGTGAATGTGAAAAACAGAAGCACTGAAAAACTTCTGCACATAGATTCGCTTTGGTGTCCATCTAACATTTGCTCACTATAGTTCACGTGTTTAATCCCATTGTAAGAGGACAGAAAAATGTTTGGTAATGTTAGGTCGTTAATAAACTTTTGTCTTTTTTAAGTTGCGTAAGTAAAAACTGTTTGTGTTATGGGAAACCATTGGTGTGAGTGAAATATGTGTGTTTGATTCCATAGAGACTTAGACTTTTTTTTTTTCTTGTTGACATCCGTTCTTGCCAGTTTGAGTAATAGTATCACAAAACACTGGTAACAGTGACATGCTGAAGTCTTAGACCACACTCGGCTGGTGAGAATTAGCATGAAAGTCAGTGGAGCTACACTGATTTATGCCATGAAGATCTGGCCAACAGCCAGCGTGCTTGCTTCAAAGATGTTCGGCAATCGCAAAAGAAACGCGCTTTGTGATGTGCTTTCAATATTTAACACATCGCGATGAGAGACGTGTGGGTTATTGGCAGTAAACTCTTAGCAAGGTCTGTCTCCTGCCCCAGGATTGTCTGGTCGTCATGTTAAACGTCCTGTCTGGTGAGCATCCACCCCTCCTCAGGAGTGAGGGTCAATTATGAAAGGCTAATGAAGATTTTGATTTATTTAATCCAAATGTTTATTTCTTCATTTAATGCCACTCTTCATCCTCGTGCCACTTCTCAGGCTTCCTTGTGCCACGTCAGATATTTTCTGTCTTCCTGGCTCTTGTCGTTCTCAGATACTTTGGCATCCCTTTTTGTCCATTCTTAGCCTTTCTTTATCAATGAACTTCCCCCCGCAGATGACTCCTAGCAGTCCCTGCGGAGCCCGAGGTCTTGGTATGTCTGCAGTGGCTTTCTACTAACGCTGTTTTGCATACCCTACTGTGCATTAAATTTGTACGCTAAGGGAATGAACGACATCTCCGCTGATGGGCGATGTGGCCCCAGCTGCCCTGACTGTGCTTCATCGCTGCAAATTCTTGGACAGTTCCCAGATTCTTTTTTCCCTTGGAGTTTTCCCAATTGCACAGTTTTGGACTATATTTACAGCATTTCTTTGTTTCCACATTTGACTGGTTTTCCTGGCTTCCCCAGGTGTGGCAACTGCTGTGTTTGCTGTAAATGTTTCATTTGCTCACTCTTCTGAAGCATTCCCAGGTTTCAGGTGGGCCTGAAACTTGCTTAGCTGAGCTGGTAACAGATCCCCGTGCTGGAGTCAGTACTGTGCTGGGCCTCACAGCCCCTTGCTTACGTTCCTCCGTGCCACTTCATTGCGTGAACGTTGCAAATGGTGAGGAAGCATTCTAAAGGCTGATATGTACTGTGGCAATTTAAAAAAAAAACCAAAACAAACATTGAATTAAACAATCCATAAGTGCTCTTACTACTATTCATATATTACTGAGTAATCTTTTTCTTTAATCTCTTTGCAGTATTACTCCACTGTAATGGAACAGCAAGTAAATGGACAGTTAATAGAGCCTCTACAGATATATCCAAGAGGTAATGCTTAACAAATTCTAATCAACAGTGATGATATCAGTAAACTGTTTCATCAACAGTTATGTTTTCAGGAGGTTTAAATGCACATAACATGATGTTTACCTCTTAATTTGGATAGAAGAATTCATTATTGTGGGGAGTGTAGTGAAAACTACATTTATTGCATATAAAATAGCTAATTTACTGGAGTAAATTAGACTAACAAGATTCAGTTTGCATAGTACATATTTATGTACATTTAAAAAACTCGTTGGTGATGGTTCTGCATGTATTCAGACCAAAGCAGATGAATAACTTAAGTTTTGGATACTTAAGAAAATTGGGTTTTGTTGAGATCTTTTAATATCATTAATCAGTCTAACAGACTTGGGGAACGCGGCTGTCATTGTTCATTTTAAAAATGGGAACGTGTCTGTCACAGAAGCTCGATGCGTGACATATTTTATTTGAGATTTGGGCACTTAGTGGCATCAAAATCATCACCAGTACTTTAATAGTTCTCCTGAACAGGGAAAGATGTAATCAATTATGTGGGCTGAGGCAATTAAAAAATAGGTCATCTACATCCTCAACAAAAATCCGTAGGCAGCTAGTTAGGTTTTTGGGAATGCACCGCTTGCTCTCAACTCAAATAATGGTTAGAAAAGATGGATACATTACATAATTCTGCTGATTCATTCAGACGCTCTCACTATCCTGTCTTTGAATCTCTGATTCTTAATTGATGAAACAGATAAGGTTTAAATTCTCCAAGTAAATCTCCCAGCAATAAATTAATTGAAATAATTAAAAATTAAACTCTTCTCACTTAACTGATATTATACAAATAATCATACTATGAGTTTCCCAATTAAGCATTCTAGACTTCCATTACTTACAACTCTCTGAAGTTTGAATTGGGCAATTAACCAACAGTCTTCTCAAACACATGCTAATAAGGTCTCAAAAGGAGGCTGGCTTTCCTGGTAGTTTAGTACGCTCCTATGGAAGAGAGACTTGAATTCAAGGGGAATAGGGAGATTTTTTTTTTTTAATGGCTCAGGCTAGCAGGGTCTGATTGAGAGGGGGAGCTCCCAGATATTCGAGCTGCAGGACTCCAGAGCCATCAGCAGCTGAGATGCATTCTCGTGAGACGAGTGCAAGGGCAACTGTGAAGGGGGAAGCTGCGTTCTGCCCCCTCGCCTCTTCCCAGGCTGAGACGCGAGGGTCTCGGCCTTTCTCCTGAACCTCTTTCTGTAGAAGACCATTTCGGTCCTGACATGCACTCGGTCTAAAAACACTGAGCACCACTTCCAAGAAATAAAATGCCTGGCTTTCAGGTGGCTTGGAGAAACTGGTGTAGTGGATGATCCTAATAGGTGGGAAACCCTGGAAATACAAGGCAATTGGATATATTTCCCCTTAAGCAAGCTGTTCGAGGAAGTTGTGGCAGGAGGTGCTCAGTAGCTGGCATGCCTGAGTGTTTAAAGGGACACTTTGAGGTTACAAATCAGGCTTAACCTTCTTTTAGAGTCTCCTTTTGGGTCATTCATGAAGAACCAGCCAAGTAGATTCCTGCTCCTGCTGCTTTCTCCTTTTTCTATTTCCTTGACATCCCAGGATACTCTTCTTTGACTGTACAGATTCAGAATTCATCTCCATGCTGCTGAGGGTATGATCCCCATGTATTATCTCCACATTTTCATCATGGGCTCAACTACGCACGTGTCTGCTGGGTATTTCCTCGTACTCTGAATTGCTTCAGAGCTGAGTTGCTGTTTCATCTTTCCAAATCACCTTCTTAAAACATCTATTCTTTCTCGGTTGCAGCTTTAAAGCTACCCTGCCCTCCCTTCATACCCAGACTGCCTCTAAGTTCTGCTGCTGCTTTTCCGCAATATCTAACAAAATGCACTTTCCTGCCTTTTTTTTTTTTCTGTCTTCTGGCATTTGAAGTTCTTATCCTGCCTCTCTAATGAACATCACAAATTTTGTTAGCACAAGCGCTTTCATGCCCTTTTGGCTGTGTCTCTGTATGTACTGCAGTTTAAAGCACCACTGGTAACGTGTGGCTTTTCTGCCTGTAATTTAAGGTTCTCCCTCTTTCAGAGCTTCCTTTGCAAACCCAGTCTTCCTTTGAGTCCTTTTCCCTTTCTGCCCCCCTTACTTCTGAGGAAGCCTCCCAGTTGCTGTCTCCAGTCAGCTTCTGAAAACTCATGTCTTCCATAAAGCCTGCCAGTAGTAAATATCTATGTGCTGTCCTGTGTTACCTTGGCTGTGCTCTGTTCATTTGATAATTTAAAGGTCTTTAAGGGCACAAAATGGTATTTTGTCTATTTAAAAAAAAAAAATGCATTGTTGCTGTCTGGGTAGTAAGAGCCAGAGTGCTTTTTTTATGTTGAAAATAAACCTCTGTATGCATATACATAAACAAGAGAGTGTGTGCATACACACACATATACGTATCCTGTCTGTTATATATATATCCCATCTGTGGAATGCAAGGTGAATATACTATTCAAATATATATATATATATATATACATATCTTTCATAAAAAAATATTAGTCTTTAAAATCAACATTTTGAACAAGATGTTAAATCTATTGGAAAAAATACGCTTATATGTATTTTAGAATAGTTTATTGTTTTCTGGGTTTTTTTTATGCCTACAGCATCATCATATTTTTCTTCTTTAACATGTACATTCTAATGTAATTTAAAGGCACAAGGCCTGGCCCTAACTGATGTGTTTAATAACTATCATCTGTGTCCTTCTGACTAATAAATAGTTCTGTTTCCTGCTGTCAAAAATTGAAGTGAAATGCATGTGCATCAGAGAAAGAGAAAAATCAAATACATCCCTCCTCAGACAATCAATCAAAAGTGACAGGCCCTTTAACATACAATTTGTAGGGCACTGTAGTTTTAAAATGGGAACTGTCTGTAACATGTAGCTAGAAGCCTTTGTGGCTTTAACATTTGACAAAAGCACATCCACCGAATGGAAGAACAAGGCAATATATAGTTCGAGAGACTTCAGGAAAATACTTTCTCCTCAAGCAGCATGTCCCTCTGTAAACCTAGATGTCATAATAAGATGCCACATTTGCACATCTGTGTCCAAAATGTGGCATTTTGTATTGCATTTATCCAGTATTTGGTTTCTTGAGACTCACTGCTGTTGCCCCTGACATGTTTTTTTCCACATTTAAAACAAACTGTCTGCATTTGACAGTATGACTAATTCATGATGTGTGGCAGCTGATTCCTTTAAAATACATCTTGCAAATATTTCTGTTAAATGCCAGAAAAAATACAGCATGTGAAAATATAGTGGCATAAGATATTGATTTTAATTTGAATTACAAAAAGAATCTGATAATTTAAGCCAACAGTTCTCTTGATTTTGATGTCTTTTAAGCAGAAATTAGAATTTATATTACATGGTGTCAGAAAGCTCTTAACATTTATAAATGCTCACTCCTGCAAGTTAAAAATCCTGGTTCATAATTCCCACTCTGGGTCTTGTGAGGCACTTTTCAATCATTTCTCTCTGCTAATTTTGGTGTCACCCTCATTTCTTTTTAAAAGATTCATTTTGAGCAAATTTGTAAATGGCCCTGATGTGTTCTACAATTTAGTCAATTACTGTTTCAGCCTGCAAGCCTCCTGGGAAACGGAACATACATGGCCTGAAGGTACGAATTTCAATAATTGTTTCAGTAAAGTTAGATGGATTTGTAATGCTGTGTTCCACTTATTGAAATGTCAAATAAAACTGCACTTTCTTGAGCTCTGACAAGCAGATTTTTTTTTTTTTAATTTTTTGTGTGTGTGTGAGGGTGGGAGAAGGATTCGTCTGCTGGGTGTTGGCTGCGATATCTATATATGCAGTTTTATTAAAAATGGAATTGCTTTTCTTTTTGTTTTTAACCTCTGTTAACAAGGTTCCTAAATTTCAATATTCAGTTTATCAACTGATGTCTGCTACTACTTCAAAGAGTTTAAAAAACCCCACCATGTTCATTTGATTTCAGTAATTTATCTAAGTGTGGAAGGCACTGCAATGAAATTCTTTTAGGTCGTTTGATTCATTCAGGTAGGCTTATTGCTTCTGTAATCGTACCCATTTGGAAATGCGGAAGACTACGGATACATTAAATGATTGTTTAGTTTTTAAAATGAGAATAAATGGTGGACATATCCTCTCTCTTTCTGTATTATTTAACTAAGCTTTTAAGAGGTAAAGATAGTATATTGTAGTCCGTGAATTGTATAGCCTGCTAACCTACATACAGGCGAGATCTCAACCATCGGCATGCCTAGCAACAAGCTAATTAACCTTCATAGTGAAATGAGAAATTCGTGGCAAATTACAGGTTAATTAGAATAGTGTCCTCTGAACACAAACGACTGATAAAGATTCTTTCCCTGCCTGCAGGTAAATACGCGAGCAGGGTCTGCTAATAATAGCAGTTCGGCGGTCTCGGATTCCCTTCCAAGCAATAGGTAAGAGTCCAGAAGGGGAGCATATGTTTTGTTTTGTTTTCTTTTATTAAAACAAAATGGAACCTTGTGTGCAGTAGTTACCAACGATAAGCTTGATGTTGAATAACTTTTTCAATATGACTACTGGGCACGCAGGAGTGAAGTGGGGAAGACGGAATTACCTTGATTCATGGATCTTGTTAGACTCGTACTGCTGGTTCTTCAGGAGAATTATTTTCTGCTGAAAGAAATAAGTCTTTGCTGGCTATTTCAGATGGCTTTGTCCTTTATAAAGCATTGGAATACTGTTTATGGGTGAGGTAATTTGTTTCAGTTGGTCTAATAATCACTGTCTATGGCAAGGTCTGCATGTTCAGGTCTTCGTTGCTTATCTCATTCCAGGATTCTTTGGTTTTAAAATTTGATACCCAATTCAGTAGGTTTATTATTGTGGGGTAAGATTTTTTTTTGAAAATCTGAACAGCTTAGGTGCCCTGTTTCATACAGTTTTAGGGAAGTTTTGGAGGCCATCTCCCTTATCTTTCTTTTTAGATTCCAGACCTAATTTCAAAACCCACGTTAAGATCTTAAAATGCAAGAGAACTCTTTCTCTTCTTTTCCCTAGAGATCTGTTTTTAAATACTGGAGCATAAACTCCCTTTTATTACATGAACTGTTACAGGAAGGTGGCGTACTCAATACTGATGTTAAAGCAAACAAAAAAAACCCACAAAAAACCTTGTGTGTTCTTAAAAGGAAAGAAGAAAAGTCTGCCTTCATCCTCTTCATATAAAAGCGTATTTGAAACATGGGAATAGAAATCTCTGGAGGTCCCTTTCAACCTAAATTATTCTATTTTTCTAATAAGCATATAATATTAGACTTATCTGTGTATCAGCATGCTGCTCCCTTTTCTCTCCGAGAGCATTTTGAAAAAGAATTGAGAGAGAGGAACATGATCAAAGGCACAATTGTATTGCATTGAGCATGTTCAGTCGGTGAAGTGTCGGTACCCGTGCTGGCAGACGCCACAAAGTGCTGCAGTGGTGGGACTGTCCCACAAACCTTGTCCTTGCGTGGTGGGACTGATGTGACGTGGTTACCCGCTGACGAGGAGGATGCCACCCCACGTGGTTGGCAGCAGTGCTGGAGTTGTGCTGCAGTGGGTAGTTCCATTCAGGTACCACTAAAACCAGTTTTGAATGCTCCCTTTAGTGGCTTTGCTAATTGTAGAGATTAAAAAAAGAAAGCCAGTACCCTGTGTCAGTCTCCTCTGGCAAAGTTTGGCCCCATCCGTTGGGGGAGATTTGCTGTGTATTGCAATGGTGAAGATCCTATCCAAGACTCTTTAAAGAAAATAAATCTGAATGTCTCTATGAACTGCAGTCCTCCTCCCAATCTGTCGTACCGCTGAACTAAATAAAGCTGCTCTCTGTCGCTGCTGTGCTCTGGCGTTCAGTACTTCCTGTACTTTGAGCTTGTTCTTAAAGTGCATTGAAAATGAAGCTTCTAGAAGATTCTTGTCACCTTATTTGGTGGTTAATTGCCATTCCTTTTCCGAAACCTTCTGCACTATGAGTTTTGTTTTTGAAGTAATTGAAAGTCTCTCTTTGTTTCATGTTCACAAATTGTTAGTCATGAAAGATGACAAGATCAACTTATGTTTCCTTGGAAAACTTAATTTTTCTTTAAAGTAGTCGTGGGAACAAGAGGCCTATTAAAGAACAAAGCCACCAAATATGAAATCTGTGTTTTCACTGTTCTTGTTAATAATGATCTGTGATCAAGACACATGCACATGCCTTTCAAGAATATATTATTTTGTACTTTTTTTTTTTAGCTTCAATAATAAGAGCAGAATGTCTCTTTGAGATTAAGTTTTGCAGACATACTTCCATCCAAGCAGTTTGCTGTGTTGAACAAGGAACAGAGTTTGTCAGGAAAGGAGGTGAAGCAGTATTTTGCGAGTGGGTGGAAGTAGTTTGAACCCATCGATAGTTTTACCTACAAACACACCATGCTGATAGTTGTGGTTTGTTAAAGTTCTCTCACTAGAAAAAAATAATATGGGTCATTTTGCCTAATGTAAGACTACTGACAGATGAGTAGTTTCTCCTGAAAAAGCACAGGGACTGCAGCAGCAGCAAGTTGACCTGGAATGGATGCACATGGCAATCTGGGCTCACCCCCCTCCATTTAGGCATGTCCCCGAGATGCTTAAATCGGGAGTTGCACTCACCTGCTTACCGTGCTCCAGTCTGCCGTCAGTTGAGGTAGTGAGGCGTCATCAATGGCACACCCTTCCGTGGCAGGTTTATAGAAATTATTGAGGAATAATGCCTTAAGGGATTTTAAAACAAGGTAAGGCTCCTGAAAACTAGATGTGAACCTTATTTTCCTGTTGTTTTTTGGAACACCTGGTGTGTGAGGGTATCTTTTTTTCTTTTTCTTCTTTGAACTCACAAAGAATAGGTTGTATCTCAAAGGGCAGTATAGTCAGGTAGCTAAAAAAATCTAGTTTGTAAAGGTGAAAAATATATTGATTTTCTTAAATGTTCATTGCTTCTCCATTTCTGCTGCCCGCAGTTTGAGCAGTGGCTATACTGAACATCAGTCAGCGTTGCTAAAGTTAAATCTATTCAGAATATGTAACCATGAACTTAACCTGATGGCTTGTTGTTTTTTATGGTTTCACTTCATTTTGTAGAGTGAAATGGCAGTCATTAAAAATAATTGCCTTTTGTTCTTTCAGCTTAAAAAAGTCTTCTGCAGAGCTGAAGAAAATACTTGCAAATGGCCAGGTAGGTGCACTGACTTGAGCCTCGGCTACATGCATGTCTTGTTACTGCCTAATACTGCAGTGATTGGCATACCACAAATAGGTGGAGAGATGCTTACTGCTCATTTAGTTGTAATGTGTTCTTTTAATACAGAACTGGATGGACCATGAAAACCTTCATGATATGAATGAGTTATGTGTCCTGATTTACTTTGATTGGCATAGCAATTTGCTTCCCATTTCTCAAAATGTGCTAATCAGATTTAGCTCCAGATAGATGGAAGTACCTCACACATGTTGCACTGCTGCCACAATTTCAGGGAAGGAAGTTAATCAATTTTGAATAACTAAGTCAACTGCTCAGTTAGAATGACCTTTGTATTTTTTAGGGCAGTAGATACTTAAATATTTAGCAGGTTCTTGCAAGGAACTGTTCTGTAACCTTATGTTGTAGCTTCCTAAACAAAAAAAAAAAACCCAACCAACCAAACAAAAAAAACTAAAACAAAAATTACCCCAAAGTTGTAGAAAGCTGTCTTATTGCTTTCTCTTCCTGCTCCAGGCATTCAGATTCTTGCACCCAGAAGTGAAAGGTTTAATGTAACAATTGATGGACAAGTGGATGTCCTGGACAAACGGAGCAATCATTTCGTACCCATTTTGAGCTGAATGTATGAGCAGGCTTGCAGTAGCATAATGACATTAAATATACACTGTTAAATTAAACTACCTTAAAAGAATCCCGTATTCTTCAGCAGCAACATAAATATGTTTTAATGTTTGTCATAGTGAAAGCCCTTTGATAGCCTTGGAGGCAGGCACCTGTCCATTGCGATCAAGCTTGCCTATTAGGCTCTATTGACTGAGACATCTGTGTCACTGCAAATAAAAGACTCTTATTGATTTTCTTAACTGCTGTTCACTTCCCCTCCATGTTTCGAAGGCTGAAATCTTAATTATCTCAGATGCGTATTCAGTGCCTTCACACAATGACCTCTCCAAGCCTCATTGGCATTTCATGAATCAAGTAGTTGTAGTTGAGCGTGTCAAGAAGATAAAGGCAGGTCTTCATGTTTGTCCTTCAGTATCACCTGTAACATTGTGGTCTAATAGATGAGAGTGCCCCTCTAAAACGGGAGTCGAACAGCCCAGTATTGCAGCCTTGCCTATTTGGCACTGCATCCTTTGAATACAGCTTGGAAATGTATTTTTAAACTTGTCAGCGTTCCTTACGTGCGGGCATAGTTTAATATTCACAGATTCGTACCAGGTAGATTTATTAACGTTTCAAAATTGTAGCTAAACTATATATTTCTCTGGATAACTTAAAAGTATGTAAGTACCAGCAGCGTGCTTCTGAACTTTTAAAATGAAGTTGATAATTACTCCGATATTACTAATTTTTTTTAAAGTAGAATTACTGAACGTGAGTAAAAGCCATCTTTTTGTGATTGAGTCCACAAACTGTATTTGGCATTTTATCTGCTCTAAGTAATAGAAATGAGCGTTTTGTGTGCCCTGCGATAGATTGTTACAGATTTCTTTCCTGCGTAGTAGAATTTTAGAAGGATATAAAAGAACCAAAACTCTTACTATGATATTAAAAATTGTTACTTAAACGCATTAGAAAACCAAGAAAATAAAAAATGAGTTTTAATACTACCTTTTAGTCACACTGCTCTGATAGGAAATATATTGCGTTCTGTCAAGAGAAAATGCTTTTTGTTATGCTGCGTTGTGTTCTGCAAAATTTGGTCACAGATGCCTAACTGGAAATAGGTTTCTAGTTGTAACTTTAACTTTTCCTCCTTTTGGGAGATTAAGTCACACTTATCATTGCTTAAATATGGGTTGGGTTATTATTTTTTATTATTTTTTGGCAGTTTATGCTTTCAGGCATTCATAATGATATTCCTCTAGTAGTTTCCATTTAGGTTTAATAAGGAATTCATATTAATCATTAAAAGAAGGGGACATGATTCTTCAAGATAATCAAATATTGACAGGTTAGAAATAGCTTTCTGCCTAGGTTCATTGATATAGGTGATGTGATATAAATATTTATTTCTTTTCTGTCACTCAGAGTAAATGCCACCAATTGATTCAGCATTGATATAGTGTCAACAGTTCATAAGAAACATTTGACTGGCTTGTGTTTTCCGATTAGTCTCTGCTCTATAAAGTGGGATTTACTAAATCTCTTCAATTGTCTGCTCATAGAGTGTGACTGCTTTCTGAAACCATTATTGCTTCGATTCGTAAAGCAAAGGTATAGGACTTTGCCTCTGTCAGGCCTCTACATATAAAATAAGGATTAATTGAGCATTTTGTTTTTAATGATTTGCAAGAGATAGACGCTGATTTCTTTCAAAAACAGCAGGTATAAGCAAGGGATGTTTTGTTTGCTGATCCGTAATTGAAGTCTGGTTTGCTTTTTCATTAATTCTGTTAATATTGGCATCCAATCAAACTTGGTTTTGCGGGTTTAATATTCCAGTCCATACTGTCGAGTTCATTGTTATTATGTTATCATTTTATGATTCAGAATCCAGTTTTCCCAGTAAAATAAATAAATCACCACAGGTTTTTGGCATCTTTATTTGAGCCAGTAAATCACACTTTATCTCTCTATCGGTTGCTGGCAGATACTTGCTCCACCCCAGTCTTCCTATTTCACCCTGGGTTTCTGGTTGCTCTTTGTGCCTAGAGACAAGAAACGGTGCTGGGCTGGCGCGCGCGGCGCGGCATCGCAGCGCGGCGCTGCTCCTGGCACTGGCTTTTAGGGAGTGGTGTGAAGAAAACGCTCTCCTTTTACCAGTTAGCAAAAAGCAGGAGAAAAGAGAAAATGCTTTGTCTCTGGTTCTGCTCAATTTGTTGCTTATAACTTGTGTAACTACAAAAAAATTCTCCTCCCCCCCCCCCCCTCCAAGAAGCAAAGATACAAGTACGTTCATAGCTTTGTGGATTCATTTGATTTTTCTTAAGAGTTTTGTTTATAAGAACATTGCTGGGAATATAGGAGAGAGATGTTTGTTGTTACCTCAAAGACTGGAGAATTAAAGTCCTCCAGCTTAGGAGAGCAGAACTCCTTAAACACAGTATGTGTTTTAAATTAATGAGTACTGCAGTCTGAGAGAAATTATGTTTAGAGCAAGGGATCCAATATAGATTCTTCATATAGTTTAAAACCCATTAATGAATTGTTGTTCCTTATGAGGTGTCTCTTTTTCCCCTCGTTATTTGCATTTTCTGGTTGTTGCAATACAAAAGATAGCTTTCAGTAATAAAATGAATTTTCACTTTCATCGTAGGCCTTGATGCTTGAATGGGCTGTTTCATGCCCTCTTAAGATATCTGGCCCAGGTTTAACTACAAATAGGTAATAATGTAGAGTCAACTTCTGCTTTGAGGTATTTTGAATTTTCTCAGAACTGGGAGATTTTGACCTCACTGGAAGAAATGTGTAGAGGAGAAGTAGTTCCTTACTTTTGCTTTTTATTCAGATAGTGAAAGGAAAGAACACAAATTTTGGAGTTCATAATTTCTGTCCTTAAGCCATATTATTTTAAATCAATTAAATATTCCGTTTTCTGTTGGTAAGACATGCTGAATATTGACTCTTTAGGGCGTTTCGGCTTGTTACCATCACTTACTTCTTCCAGTTGAAGCCAGGGGCAAAGTTCCTGTTATCTTCACTGACATCATATGAAAGGGGACGCTTAACCGTGGCTTAGTAACTGAAGGGCACATGTCCCCACTGAATTTTAAAAGCCATTTCAGAAGTTGGGTAAATACAGATAGTTAGCTTATGGCGAGGTCTGCATGGCTCTCGCTGTGGTGCTCGTGGTACTTGAAACAGCTAATTTGAAGCTATTTCAGATGTGCTTGCGTGATCTCTAATCACATCAGTGACAGCAGAGCAGACGTGTCATTAGGGGGTTTTTGATGCCTTTTAACACACAAAAATGACAGAAAGTCTTCAAGCAGCCATGCCAACTCAGGTAAAATGTTTAACTTGGTATCCCATCAAATATAAATACTTAATAGAAACAAGTTAATGATTTGGTAACAAATGCCTAGCAAAATATCTTTTAAAAATGGGGTTTGCCCAGACATTTATTACTTGTAGTGGTCAGGCAATGGAGGAGATCCTTTTGGAATAGCAAATGCATGCAGTCCAGAATTTACTGTCATTAAAATATTTAATTTCAAGTATGCATATGCATTCCAAAAATGTCTGTAGTGATATTTTTTTTTAATACGTGGTTTACCTGGAAAATCAGTATAACTGTATTTGTACAGGAGAAGGTTGAACTGTAGTTTTACATTTGAATTGCTCACGCAGCAAGGTGATGTATAATAAGCTTTTAAAAAAATCCATATCAGAAAGATCCCAAATTCCAGCATTTGCAATGTACAGTGCTTGTATCAGGCTTCTGCTCAAATATCTGAGGATATCATCATATCTGGAGAGTTGTGTCAGTGAGCAAAAAGATGGAGGCAAGCAATTAGTTGTGTATTTCAAGGAAAATTATTTTTATTGGACAGCAATTCAAGACCATTTTTTTTCCCCCGAATATTTGCTTTAGTTAAAAGGTATATAAATTAAGCACTGCGAAGGAATCCTACTGACAGAACTGTCACTCAATTAGTATCAATTATGCCGATTCCAGGATAAATCATCAACTTTTCTAGCCGTACTTAAGATGACAGTTTTCTGTTGGATTGTTTCCATTCACCTCCAACTTTGGCTTTGGTTATGTGCTGTTCTGGAGACCCTTTTCCTATCAGTATCTGTGACCTGACCCTCTTGAGCTATATTATATCATTCCATTTTGACACCTTTTATCAAACTTTAATGAAATGACCCAGGCAAACAAATTGTCATTAAACTTTCCATCACTTTGTCCCTTGGTATCGTCTTTTATAAATTGGACAGCAAATGTTGTATTGATCTTCTCGTTCTTGCAGCTGAACTTGAAATGACCCAGACTGCTTGTTGTTTATGGCCTAGAGTTGCTTTTCCTTGACATTTCCATCCACAGCATGACATCTCTTTTGTTTTTCTTTCTTTCTTGTGGAGATGAATGAACAAGACATACGGTATCGAGACATCCTCGGTCATGGCAATGGAGGCACAGTCTACAAGTGAGTGTTGAATTTCACTTAAAATTTTTGAAAATAAAATTTAACAGCGCTCTTCCTCCTCCCCCCCCTTCATATGTGTAGTGAGATATAGGTGGGCCATTGCTGCTATGCAGAAAAGATTATAAAAGAAATTCTTAATATAAACTTTTTCAGAATTCTCTTTACATATTTACAAGGTATCTGCTTTTGGGTGCCGTGAGGGCTGGTGCATTTTTATTATCTTTTTAATACTTAGCTTGGAATCCCTCCTGGGTAAGATGTTAATGGTTCACAAGTGGAACTTGAAATGTCCTGAAGCGTAATGAATTGCCTTCGGTGTTTGCAATGCCATTATTCTTGCTGGCTCACCACGCCCTTTGCTAGCCCAGTGCTGAGTGACACCGGTGGGATGGGATGACACCATTGCTCTGCCTTTCTCTAGCAATTCAAAATTAGTAAATACCCCTTTCACTGTTGCAGTGACTTCCCTCCCTTACGAGCAGCTTCACACACGGGCTGATGAATGTATTAAATGATAAACTCCCCCAAATTTTGGTAGTGAAGCTTATACCCTGCAGCCAGTATTAATTTTAATATTGTAAAGATTATAATAGCAGAGAGATAGTTTGCTCGACAGGAAAGTCTTTCTCATGCATAGTGCAAAGTTTAAACTACATAATGTAATATCTGGTACTTAATAGTCTGCAGTGGTGTATGAAAAATATTCCACTAGGAATTAAGAAATCCATACTTTGTAAGAAAGCCCTGAGGGAGTAATAAAGGTTTCCTCCAGAGAGCTATTTACCATATACAGTAACCCAGCATCCCGTTATGATTTTGTTCATACCTTAGACATTTTAACTTTGATATTAATAATTTTTTTAAAATGTTTTAAAAGCTACGGTGCATTTAGTCTAGTTTCTAATTGGCTGCCAACATTGCAGAATGACTAGCTTCGGTCTCCTTGCAGAAGGTTTAATGAAAATGGACTTCCAAAACCTTAAAGGGACAAATCTAGTCTTTGAACGGACTCTTCAGAAATCAGGTTAGCCTCGTAGGTGGAACGTAGTTCAGAAATCTCATTGATGGCCTCTTGTAGAAAGATATTCCTAGACCAAGAAACTTGGAGAAACGGTGTTCTTACTTCATAATAAGAAAGATTTGAGAAGAGAGAGTGCTGACGTTTACAGCTCAGTCAGTGACTTCTTGGTGTTTTCTGATTTAGAGAAGGTTGCTTCCCTTCCCCACATACTGATGGAGGCTCCGGGAGTGGATGTAGGTGGGAGAAGCATCGCAAAGGAGGGCCACGTGCTCTGATCCCCGTGGAAGGCACTTGAGGCACAATGAGGGAAAAGGAATATCCCACAAAGTGAGGGAACCCGCATGTGTCACTGTTACCCAATTTGGGCTTATTTTCCATAGAGAAGTAGCTGAAATAAGGAGCTAGCAATGCAAAATCATGAGCTGCCTAAGAAGGCCGTACTAGGTTGTACCAAAAGTCTCTCCAGTTCATCCTGTGCCTTACAGCGGCCACAGTCTAAGGAATGTAAACCAAGGCAAGTGAACGTGTGCTTTGCTAACCTTTTTGCACTGAGAATCTGCTGACCTTAATGTCTGTTGGTCAACTTGTGTGCCTTACTCGCAAGGAACAGCTCTATTCCCTGTGCACGGTCCGTACAATGAGACAGTGCTTTTAGATGCAGAAGGCAGTACAAAAATGTCTCATTCTTCTATGATGTTGCCACGTGCATAGTGTGTATTTCACATTTCATAAAATACATGCGGGAAATTTGGATAAAATGCTATGTAAAGCCAAACTTGCACCTCTTGACTTCTTTTTGTGTTCCTGAAAGGTAGTATAGTTACCCGCCTGCTTTTTGGTTAATGTTTTTACAAAAATGTTTTTCTCTTGTGGTGACTACTGCTTTAGTAAGAGTCTGCAGGAGTGATGGAGGAGATGTGAACACTCAAGTTGCAGAGGATAACAGCACAGGAGGGAACGTGTAATACTTCTGGCACGTCTTCTGCGTTGGTGTGCTGCGTTGTGTGGGCTGATGGCGTGATCGCTTCGTTAAGTGGTTGAGTGTTGCATGTGCCTGCAATCTGAGAAAGTAAAAAATTTTACCTGTAAAAACACGAGCCCTCTTATGTATCAGGGAAATATTTCTGCCTTTCTTCTTCCTTTTTATTGCGTTCGTATTTTAAATTAGCAGTCGCAGTGACTTGACAGTGTTTTCTCTAGCATGAGTGTCATTCTGCACTGCTCCAGGGAACGTGCACCATTTTTGTGTGGATGTTTTACACATTCCTGAAGTTTGCCTTTCTTTGCAACGCAAACAATAGCAGAATGTAAACATGAAATACAGTTTTCTCCCAAAACTGACTTCTAAGCCATGCTTTCCTCTCAGATCTTCCCGAATTTGTTTCTTGGTGTGTTGGATTGAAGAGTTGTACCAATGCACTCTCATCCCTGGAGAGCTGCTGGTTGCTGCTGTTGCAGGGAGTTTGCAGTTACCGTGCCGTGGTGATGTGCTTTGGACAGACCACGCAGAACTTCCTACCTTGGAACAATCACCCCTTCATAAAGGGGAGCCTCTGCTCCCTTGCCAAAGGAGCATCTGTGCTACACAAGCCAATAAGAAATTGCAAAATGGAATACTTACAGGTAGCTGGATTGCACTAGTCATGGATAGCAGCCCACATATATTTTATTCCAGTAAATCAATGAACATTTGTCAAATAAAATTAATTGCCAACGTTTGGCTGTTTTCCTCTTCCAGCATTCCATGCTGTTGGTTTGTTTCAGAAGAGGCTGTGTGTAGTATTGATCTGAATCTAAAGAACGAGCGTGTCTATGTGGTATCTTTTTTTCTTTCTTCCTAGCTCTTTATACTAAGTCATATCCATTATGGCAATGATATATTATCAGCATTCAGCAAACAAGATAGCGTGTCGCAGGTCGCTGAGCAAAAATTTTCAGCCTCCCTTTCCACGTGAATTAACTACTATTGAAATAGTTTATTGAGATTGAGGTATTGATCACTTTTCATGCTAACCTTGGCTTAAGGGGGGAGAGGGGAGGTGGTTTTGTTCTCTTTGGAAGACGCTATGTTTAGTTAGAAAATGTATTTCATTTATTTGGGTTCTTTACAGCTGCAACGGTTTTATTGCTTGGAGAAGAGGTATCTTAGCTTTATTTTTATGACAGTATAATTATACTTTAGAAATACACTTGATTACTGTGTGTAGCAAAATTGTTCCAGTATATTGGCTTGGCCAATATTGCTATACAAACAACTTTTCAGTCAATTGAGTCTGGTAAAAAATCAATACTTTATAGCAATATTTCTAGGGAGAACTTGCTGAATCTAAATGTTTTTCCTGTTCTAAAAAGAAGGGATTTTATAGTTGTCTGACTTCCTGTTTTTCCTCTACCTTTTGATACACTGTTTTTCTTAATTAAGGAATGATAACAGTTATAGAGTTAGATACGGCAAAAACAGTTAATTATTCTTGCTTTCTGATTGCTTGTATTTTCAAAAATACGTGAGAGCATCTAAATAATCCCAAACTGTATAATCAAAAAGTGTCTTTGAATATACAAAGAATCAGAAAGCAAGAATTCTTCCACTGGTGCATAGTGGGCAGCGTGTACTCTGTCTTGAGTACAGATTGTCAAGAAAGTAATGAAATCGGCTGTAACAAAGACTGAAAGCGCCCTAGTGTCTGTCTTTTGTTTGCCCGTTGTTGTAGGTAGTTGACATCATTAACTGGGATTTCCACTTTCCACAAAGTGTTGTAAGTCCAATTCTATGAATTTTTGGAAACTCAGCTGCCATTATTTCGTGGAGGTTTGCACCTTTCCTGACAGGAGGGCCCTAAGACTGTTACACTGGTAGATGCACGACCTTCCAGCTCTGCAACGGAATTTCTAATTTTTTATCCACTATTTTATAGGAGCTGGTAGGATGGAGAATGTACAGTTTGGGCTGCTTCACAGCAGGAGAAAACTTCTGTATACCAGCACATCTATGGTATTTACTTAAATTGCTTTTTTTGAAAAAAATCGTTCACTGGTAGGTCCAAAAGACACTTAAAGTGTGTGCTTCTGTGGTGCATCTTTTAAGTCCATCATTGGCTGCAGAGCTCTGAGAGACTGTTTTGATAAGATTGCTCCTTTTTACTTCAGTGAAAGAAGGTTAAGGTTTTGGTTTGTAATGGGATGGATGCGCTCTGCCAGCCAGTCTCAGGAGTAGCTACATTAAATTATTTAGACCTAAAATCCTTAGCTGTGTGCATTGTGAACCTAAGTATTACGAAGTAGAGGTATTTATCTCTGGCAAATAATTACTCTGTGAAGCCTCTCGCATGGCATATCTGAAGTATCACTATTTCCTTCCTTTACATCCAAGCAAAAAGAATATTTTTCTCTTATTTCATGTTTTCTGGTTTTTGCTTTGCAGTTGTAGCTAATGAGAAGTGAGATGTTGAAGGAACTCTAGGGGATGGTATAGCCTTTTGTGTGTCTGGGGTTTTCTTAAAATGTGTGTTGTGTATGGTTTGTAAATCTGGATTCTGTTAGAGGAGCCTTCAGCAGCAGTAAGCTATAACGCTCTGTGTGCCGAAATAAACGTAAAGTCCCAATGATGCCTTAATTAATTTGCGAAGTTACCTAGTATCTGGGAGAGAGGGAAGAAAAGGGAGAATCGGTTATCATCTTAGCAAAATGCTCTTAAACCAGACGGCTTCACTTTAAGTTGAGTAATTGGGAAAGAAGTGGCTGTTGATGATGTGTACCGCCCAGAAGAATTGTATAGCTAGGGAAAATACGGGTAAATGCGGAAGCTTAATTTGTTTGAGCAATTTACTCAAGCAATTTTGCTGTTCGGTTGAGTTGTACATTCCAGCATATGCCCATTTCTTTATTCTCTATCGCAGCCAACCTTGGGGTGCCCCATTAGCACATTAAACATAGCGCATGGCAAGACAGCTGGGAAGTTGCTATCTCTTGCAAGACAGCC